TCGTAAAATCCCAGAATTTTTACATTCTTAGAAGGTCCCTGAAGGCACAAAAGAGCCTCACAAATCGTATTATCGGAATTATCTGTTACTAATTTAAATTTTTAAGAATATTGAAATATTAATTTCATTCGGATTGTGATGCTGCAATCCGATGTCATCGAAATATTATCTATTGAATTGTTGTAGCACTATCTTTATAGATTCTTGGAAAAGAACAGTGCCTAATTCTCACTATATTGAAATTTGACTTTAATCGAGACAGAGCATGCAAGAAAAATTTGTTAATGATTTAATCATTTCAGTAGTCTAGAAAGTCATTTCAATTGATAAGGGAAGAAAATTGAAAGAATAATGTCTAAATTATTTTCTTCAACATAGATGAGAGGATATCTCCCGTCCCAACTTTTTTTTTATATGAATAAATATGACGTTATTCAATGCGGTAATTACAGAACATTATTGATGAATTCTGTTTAGATCAGCCGAAGTTAAGGAAATCAAGATATCTGAAATTATCGTTTGAAAATACATAAAGTAAAAGAAAAAAGTTTTCAGTTGTTTACTTAACATTGACGATTTTGTGACTAGTGAGCATAATGGCAGAACCTTTAGATATTTCCTAGAACATGCCCACTTGTACATCACACTGGGTCGACACTCTTGCTACCTGACAAGGGATCGCCATAAAATCATTTGACTTTTCACTAACGTCCATAATGACGAACTGCCAGTGGGTCAGATATTTTTGTATATTTTCAAATCGTTTGCGGAAGTACTAGAAATGTTGCTAAAAATCGGAAAAAAATCACAGTCATTTGAACTAATGAGCTTTCGTTTCCGTAAACTTGCAAATTGAAATTCGGAAAAAATGTTTTCTGGGCCTGCCTATTTCGCTAAATCAGTGAATTATTCTTCTACTGGTTTATCGCCCTGATTTGGCTTATTGCGTTATGTTTGAATTTATTGACAATGAGTTTTTTCAGTTCGACACTGACCAGCATGGTTGGATTATACTGACCAAGTTACGAAACGCAAACGAATAATGTATGTCATAAGCCGCTATTTGAGTATACATAGATTGCATCT